AGAAAAAACACATAACGAAACACATAACAAAGGAAACAGTTTAAAAACAACAACACCTCATACATACATTCTAATCAGGGCTGGACCTCAACAGTGAGGTCAACAGCCCCAGGCCTGCTGGAATAGCCAAGTTTTTACAGCTTTCCTGAAGGCCATGAGAGTGGGTATGATCCGGATCTCCAGGGGAGGCTGATTCCAGAGAGTCGGAGCAATCACAGAGATCACAGAGAGAAGGCTCTCCTCCGAGGGCCCGCCAGCCAACACTGTCTGGCTGACGGCATCTGAAGGAGGCCCAATCTGTGGGATCTTACTGGCCACTGGGAGGTATGCTGGGAGGTATGTGGCAGCAGGCGGTCTCGAAGGTATTCTGGCCCTAAGTCATGTAGGGCTTTAAAGGTGATAACCAACACCTTGAATTGTGTCTGGAGACCAATTGGTAGCCAGTGCAGTTCGCGGAGGACAGGTGTAACGTGGGTGTACCCCGGTGCACCCAATATCGCTTGCGCGGCCGCATTCTGCAGTCTCCGAACGCTTTTCAAGGGTAGCCCCATGTAGAGTGCAAAATTGTTATTTCCCCCACCGTCCATGTTTGGTCCTCATTATACTGTAGCGTATACCTCTGTCTTCCTCTCATAGTCTTGACATGGCTTGCCTGATTATATGCCATTATTCCATTAAGTGCAGCAAATGGGGTGTTTTCAATAGCATATACAATCAATAATCCAGACAAACATTTTACTTGGAAGAAATAGCCATTAACTGGAGCAATAAACAGCTACCCCTTATATGAATGGTACTGTACATGTTAATATATTAGGGTTAAGCTTTCATTTAATAGCACCCAGATGCCCTCTTTTAGAGCTTTAACATGAATTTGAAAATAATTAAAACTGTATTAGAAATTGGTATGTCTTTCTTGCCTGAAGAATTCAGCTCAAAAGATTTTATTAAATTGAGGCAGTGAGTTGAACAGGGAAGATGAGGGATTCAGCCTTTAATGTCATCTTGGGGAGAATCCTGGCTATTAAATTAGGACACAAGGGTAAATATTCAGAGATCAGTTGATGGTAGGGTGATTGGCATGGTGGCCTAGAGGTGGAGCTCTTGCCTCAAAATCAGAAGGCTGTGAGTTTGATCCTAGGTAGCAGCAGATATTTCTTTCTCTGGGTGCAAAGAAAAAAATCTGCTGTGAACTCTGTGTAGGCATCAGAAAGGGCATCCAGCCAGTAAACACTCAGCTGCATTCAATCACCCCGACTCCACCCTGGTGCAAGGGAATACTCCCCCCCCCCACAAAAGTATTTTTTTTCAACCCAAGTGAAAGCTGGAGTAGACTTCTCCAATGTAGCAGGTGAGGAAATGTATATATCTGTTTTTTAGGGATGGTTGGATAGGCTTTCCTTTTATATGTCAGCAAATTTTAATGTTTTCCACTTGAATGTGCCTTCTCCTTCCTCCTAGCAAGAAGTCAGAACCAATCAGTACAGAGGGTGCACACCTATACACAATACACTGTTGGGATTCAGGAGGTGTTTGCAGTGACCCATCTCCAGTCCTCTGCAACTCTGCTTATTCATCAACCCTTCATGGCATAGTCCTATAGTGATGGCTTTTGCAGGCAACTCTAAATCAGCCTTAAGACAATCTTAATTAAATAAATTCTAGAAATAAAAAAATCCTGAAGACAAGTAGGCACTGGCATAGTAAACTTGAGAAATCAGTTAGTTTTTGATCAACTGACTTCTCTGGGAAAATATTCCAGTATTGGCTTATTGTTTTATCCAATATAGTTTTTAAATTAGTAAATTTACATGTACTCTAATGCATTAGCAGCATAACTAATAATGCAATGGTCAGGCAGATAATGGTATGCACTCACAGATTCCCAAGAATAATTTGATTTTCTCAGTAAAATACAATCAGAGTCACTAAACTGGAGAAATTTGTTGTTCAGTCTGCTTTGGCACTGAATTGAATTGAATTGAATTTATTATATTTCTATGCTGCCCTTTTCCCCGAAGGGGACTCAGGGCGGTTCACAATCCAAGTCAAGGGGGGGGGGGTACAAATAAGGAAAAAAAAGACGAACAAAACAATACCACAATTTAAAAACACACAACCACCATACCATTCGA